AACAGTTCAGTTACTATTTTAGCTACAACATTTTCCCTAAGGTTTACATGTCTATTTTCACAGCAAGGAGGGGCACAAAGACATTGCCCTTCCCTTGGAAAACTGAGCAAATATGATTACTGAACATTTACATAGCCTTAGTCTTCCTATGCCACAGTTCCCATTCTCCAAAAGGGATAGCACCTCACCTTCCCATGTGTCGTGTCTATTCAGGGTGGTAAGCTCAGTGCAGCCCGTACTGATGGACATTGCTCTGTTGGCCTTACAATAGAAGTGAATCTTAAATGGGCAAGAGGAAGGGCCTGCAATTACCCCATTCTTGCCAGTCATAGAGCATCTGCTCAAAATACCTATACAAATGCCAGCTCACGGAATATTTAAATGTAGAGGGCTTAAACGCTTACATCATTTTGCATTACTGTAACTGGACAACACTAAGACAGGTTCAAGTGATTAGACAGGTCTGGCAGTCAGAAGGTGCCGGCCTAGTTGTTCAAGCTAGTATTCCCTGAGACTGACAGAAAATAATGGAAGTGCTGCTGGGAAAATGATCACCGGACATTCAAAAGTGAGTTGCAGGTTTCCCACTTCTCTCCCTGTTTCGCTGGAACTCTGAAAAGTCCCATTTTCATTTAGTCATTCTGGCTACCCACCAGACCAATGCCCCTAAATGTGAATTGGACTGGCCATTACTCAGTGAGACGTTGTGATAAGTACAGGATCACGCATCCTTGTACTACATCCCTCTCCAAGGAGCTCTCCATGGATATGGCATAGCGTTCAGGGAAGCAATCAAGATTTAGCTTAGAAATCAATAGATAGTGGACAGAAAGAGACTTGTTAAACAAAAGCAGCTCACAGGTACTCAGGCTCACAGGTACTACATCACTGTAGAAATGGCTATGCATATGTGAATCCTATTTTGCACTCCTGGAGCACCTTCCTGGGAGAAGCCTTTGATGGCAGAAGGAGAAGACTGCCATATCCACTTGATGTGGGTTGGAGGTCAGTTGAACATGAAGCCAGACGAGGGCTGTGGAAAGAGCCTTCCCTCCCACAAGGAGTAGGAAACCTTGCCAATCCCAAGCAGTCAGAGCTTTTATTTTGTAACTCATCTATGAGATGTAGGACTAAATTCTACACTATTTTTACACCAATGTAGCTACAGACTCTGCCAAAAGGCAAGCACCACACAGTGTAGGCTTCTGGCAGCTCAGCCAATTCAGCAGATGCGATGTGTGAGAGTGGTGGGTGGTCAGGGCCAGGGTCCAGCAGAAGAACTTGGGACTCAGGTGGGTGCCCAGGAGTGGCAGGGAGCCATCAGCAGATACGCTGCATCTATCCAGTTGCTGGCGACCTGGTAGATGCTGAGAAAGAAATAGTTTTAGCAGGAGCAGCATGGTAGAAGGCAGGGTGCCAAGCATTGTACCAGGCCGGGTGAGCAGTGTGCAGCTGCAAGGCCTCCTGGATGTTTTCCTCCCTGCATTCTCATGGTTACTATTATGTAGGGACTAAGACACCTCCCCCAACTGAAGGTGACTATTGAGCTCCTGGCCTGTAATTTTGGGAAGGCAGGGAGCTCTAACTTTGGACCTGGATGGGGAGCTAAGGGTGAGTTGGTGCATGGTGCAGCAGGAAGGGCCCTGTGTGCAGTGCAGTGGTGGGGGTGCCTGGGCACGCACGTGCACACACACACACACACACACACACACACACACACACACACACACAGAGTGCAGGGGGGGCACATGGCTGCTCATTGTAGCAGGGCTTTGGGGAGAAGCAGCAGAGGAACATGAAGTTTCAGCAGGGGAGCAGGGGTGCAATGGGGTGGATGCATATCCTACAGCAATTGGCCACTGCTGGTGTGGCTGCTGCTAATGCATCCCCTGTTAACGTGGCTCAAGGGGTATGTGGTCCCTGCCCAAATTGGGCAGCTCTGGCTTGGGGAAAGACACACACATTAGTTGGTAGTGTGATTGCCCAGCTCTGCTCTTATGTATCAGTGCCACTGCTGCAATATAATTCACCTCATTATTTACAGACCCCCATTCACTGTTCCAGGATTTGAGCACCTTAAGTGAACTTCAGTGGGGAATTGAGAAATGGAGAGAAAGTGCTTTGCCTAAGGTTGCACACACAACCAATGAAAGGTCAGGAGCCCAACCCCAAATCCTGCTTTTCCTACAAGACCATCCTCCCTTGTCAGTGGTTGTCTTTGGTTTGCCCACACAAATCTACCATAAATATAAATGAATGTCTCTTATTCAGAAAGCAACTTTCATACTGCATGAGAGCTTTCCACTATTCTGAAACACTGGGAAGTTGCTTTGTCACGGTACAGAGGAATCCCATAGAAAAGTACTTACTTATTATTACACACGTCTGTGGCAATCAACAATATTTTAGGATTCCAGAGGTGCCACTACGCTCTTCTCTTCACCTCTTCCAGGCACTCTCTACAATGGATCAGATGAAGAGGGTGGGTGATAATGCACCGGCTAACACCTAGGTTTGTGAGCTAGGATGGTTTTCCTTTACGTTGAAAGAAAGGTGAGCGTGCCCAAACTGTAATGCTAACAAATAGTTTGCACCGAGGACCTGGACTTTTAACACCCAATTCATCAGCCACAACAAGTGTAAGATATTCTTTGTTGAGATGGCCCAACATTGAAATATTTACAATTTACAGTGGCTCAGGACATCTTGTAGCAAGAATCTATCACAGCAGGGCATCTTGTAGCAAGATGGGCAGTAGCAAGACTCTTATTTCCTTACTGTAAATAGCACTTTATAGAAATTTTTGCAAATCATCATTTCCATGCCACAAAGTCTCATCAGGCTACTCGAGACTGTATGCAGCAACTCCCTTGCCCTGAGCCAGCTCAATTGCTGCTTCATACACAAAGCTACAGTGCTCAGACAAGAGCTGCTGCTGCGAGAGGGTTATCCTTTCTCCTTGTGGGGGCCAGGGTGAAGCGGCAGCCAGTAGACACGTGTAGGCACCGTGCTTCTATTCCAGTGAAGAAGAATCACCTGCCTGCTTAAGGGACACGCCCCAATTTTGGAGGGGAGGGCCATGTGGTAGGTGAGTCAGTACAGTGCTGTCTTCCATATTGTGCCCATCACTGTGGTACCAGAGTCCCTTGCAGTCTTGAATGTAGCTGTGGGGTTGTGAAGTAGCAGACTGTCAGTTGTGAGCAGCAAAGGGTGAAGCCTGCAGCCAGATGCTGATGGACAGCTCCTGTAACTGCAGGAACCATCTGGGCTTGAGCCCTTTTTTCCCCCTTTTTCAGGGCTTTGGGTCTTTCCATGACACCACCTAATGGAAGAAGGAAAGGACTGTGGCTGCTTGAGAGTCCCATGACTAGCTCTTTTGGACTCTGGTTCTTTTCACTGGAAGATGCAGCAGTTATTTAGAGCATTTGGTCCAGACTTAGTCTCAAACCCCCTCTTTGTGTGTTGGGGCATTATCTTCTTCTGTGCATTCATGCACATGCGTTCTACTTCTCTGCAGTCAACAAAGATGAGAACAAGTCATTCGCGAATGCTTCATTTGTAAAAAAATTGCTGTTCATGGTCTGTTCTTATTCTTAGATCGAAGACTGGAAGGTCCACATCTTTCAGAAAAGGAAATAAAAACACAACCCCACTCCCAAAATGGTATCCTCTCCTAGTAAGGGCCATATCAGAGCACTACAGCACATGGATTTGATTTACCTTTGATGTCACTCTTCTTTGTAGCAAAACATTAACGCATGAACATTGATTTGTAGTACTGTCCTCCTTCAATGGCTGGTCAGTAGAATATTACATGACTATTTTTTATAGCTTATGTGGGACCTTATTTTACTTTTAGGGGTTTTGTTTTTTGCAAGATCTATACAGGTCCAGCTCATGTAAACTTGCAGAATTTTCTGGTTGTGCATGTCTGACTCCAGATAAAACAGGTTTTTCTCTGATGTTGCATCCTTGTGCTGGACCTGCCTTAGAAACGTCTGACTTTGGGTTTTGATTTTAGGAATCTTGCCATTGAAATTCCATACCTGCTAAGGGAGAGTCTGGTAGTAGCTTAAATATCTTCAGTGATTTGCCTCTGGCTTTGGATAGTACACAGCCAAACTGTACCTAACTTAGTTGGGATAATAAGGTCCAACCTGGATTCTTTGTAGGGTTCGACTCCTTACCTTTCTGAGTCATTGTGAACTAGCCAGGGATGTGCAGAACCACAGCCCATAGCTGCCTGAGGTTGCAGAGATGCTCCAGCTATCTACTGCAGCTTTTATTTCCCAGATCAGATGTGCAGGACCAGCAATGCCCCAGATGAGTGGAGAAATCGTGTCCTTGAGAGACCAAGCCCTCAAGTGAGATAGGAAGGATTGAAGTTCTACTGCGGTTACACAAGGTAGATTTTAAAAGGGTCTCTTTGGGCTGGTCCACATCACTCTTGGCCATGCCTTGAAGGGCCACTATGAGGCATGTCTCTGCCACTCACACCTGATGTGTGTGGCTCAATGCTCGAAAACCAGCCCATACAGTTGTCTTTGAGTGGCCCTGAGTGCAGTCCCAGAGCTCCTCTTTGACTCCCTGTCTCATAGATGCTTATTGACACAGGATCTGGGCTGCTCTCAGATGGCTCCGTTACCTTCTTTGTGTGATGGGCAAGTGCTGAGAGGAGGAGTGGTAGGGTTCTGGTTCATGGCAGCACTTCTGGGTGCAGCCTGAGGGTGATGGAGACAAGCCTAAACAAGGCCTTACAAGCACTGGTCACTTTAACTTGCAGAATCCCTTTTGACTCGTCCTCAGCAATAGGGCCTCTAGCTGCTTTTAGCAAGCATGGCACAAGTTTCACTTAGTCTGTTTCATTCTCCATCGACAGAGCGGTTGGATTTTCTTGAAGGCTCATAGTTTTTTTTTAAATTGGAGAGAGAATAGAGGGTGAAAAATTAAAATGGAGAAAAATAACACACCTCCTTTTTATGCGTCCATTGTTCTGCAGGAACCGTGGTCTGCTCTGCGAATATGTTAGGGCAGGGGTTTTCAACCTTTTTTAAGGGGTGTATCCCTTCTGGTGGCAGTGGCCAGATGTGAAGCGGGAGTGGGGAGGGAGGTGGTGGCAGCCGGATGTGGAGCAGGGTGGGTGGGAGGAGAGCTTGTATGCAGCGGTGTGGGGCAGTGGGTGGCAGCAGCGGTGGATGGTGCTGGCATGTGCATGAGGTGGTGGATGGCGGTGGTGGCCTCCACGTGTGAGCTCCCCCGCCCCAGCCAGCTGGGCAGTGCTTGTGCGGCTTGCTGTGCCTGTGCAGTGCCTATGCACGTCGCCCCTGCCCGCCCGGCTCCTGGGAGGCAGTGGCACGGAGTGGTGGGTGGCAGCGCTCTGTCCCCACCTGCTCGTGCATACCCCCTAGCACCTTTCTGCATACCCCCGGTTGACAACTGCTGTGTTAGGGGAATCTTCTCCAAGAAGGGAAGCAGAGAGGAGGAAAAAGGAGGCACCAATGTTTGGGAGACGCTCTAATTAAAATGCTGCAGCGTCTAGTGTATTCAGTGTCCAGTATTTGAAAATGGCTGTAGGGGCGTGTAACAGGTGGCCTTCTCAGGGCTGATCTCACTGTAGCCCTACCCACCTGTTATGGGCCAACCGCCCACCGTCTCGCCTGCCATGCCTTGTTGGTAATTAGTTAAATGATGTAATTAAACAGTAGGCTGCCCATTTTCTGCCCTGATGGCAGGGGGCACTATCTGCGGCTCCCTACACCGTACCCTAAGCCTCGCAGATGGTATTTGAAAATTCCTCTTTATGTTGGGGTCTAGTCCGCTGTGGGCCTACCCTTTTTTTCTCTCTCTAGCTAGGCCTGTCAGTCAAAAAAGATGAAAAAAACTCACTAATCAGGGTTTGACTCCCAGGCTCTAGCTCTCAATAAAACCCCCTCGCTCGGGCTCTTGCCCCTCTGTGGTGCTGGGCTCTACTCACCCCTAAATACTGCACCCTCTCTGATGCTGGGGTCAGCTCACCCCAAAATTCTGCGCCCTCTCTGGCACCGGGGTTGGTGCACCCAAAATGCTGCACGCTCCCTGGCAGCTTGGTCGGTGCAACCCAAAATGATGCGCCCTCTCTGGCGCTGGGGTCGGTGAACCCCAAAATGCTGTGCCCTCTCTGGTGCTGGGGTCCCCACACTGCAGTGGGCCCCCAATGAGGCTTCTTCCTTCCCCAAAATAGCCTCACCCAAACCACCGGTTGTTAACATTAAACAAGGGAGGCAACATGCCTGCTTACTTTAGATGATCGTGATGATGGCTCTGGGCATGGTGTAGTCTTCCAACAGAAACTACAGCCTCAGCAGCATAGTCATTAGGAGTCCACCTCCCTGCTGCCCCCTGGCCTTCCCCACTCGCCATTTGTAGGATCCTGGACTTCCTCTTCCAGTCACCTGACCGGCTGGCAGGGCTTGAGCCTTAACCCCTACTTGACCGGCTGGCCGTGACTGGAAGGTTCTGGATTTAAAGGGGCCACCCGGTCTCTTAGTAACAGGGTTAGGGTTCCCTGTTACAGGGAGCTTTAACTAAAGCTCATTTGGTCCCTGTCACCATTTTGAAATGCAGGATGCTGAATACATGAGACATGGCAGCATGCTGGAGTGTTCAAATTAGAATGATCCAGTAGACTCAATTAATCAGTTCTGCTCTGACCTGCTCAATTAATCAAGTCTAATCAGAACGCATTGGCACACATGTATAGGCACCCAATGAGTCTGTGGTTCCCCCCTTGCTGATTTGGGTTCTGAGAACGCATACACTACCACACCAGTCTTCACATTCAGCTGGTTTCAGCTGCCGAGGGAGTAGCCGTAAATTGAAAATACCCATTAAGACAACTTTTGGTGTCAGTGATTCTTAAACTGAAAGAACTTGCTGCAGCCTTGCATATTTCAACTAAGCTTTAATGACTTATACAAAGTCCACAAACAGTACAGAGAGCTGTTGCTGCATTACAAAAATGCTGTCTATAATGTCAAGTAAAGATTTGTTGTACATTTGTTAATGATCTGAAATAAAATGGTCTGCACATTCATCTTGTCTGAAGTCTTCACAAAAGAATTTTGTTACAATGCTCAGAGGTTTTACATTGACATAGAGTGCAACACCACTGAACGGGATCTGTTGGACCTGTACATGGCAAAGCAGACTACTACTGAGATTAGCTTGTCAGTGTAACACCTCATAATTGGACGGGAGAATAAGGATAATGACATTCCAGAAGGCTGGAGACATACTTGCTATTTGAGGCACACTTCAGTCTCCTCTTGCTTTGCTTATTAATTGAATTCAAAGGAAACTTTCTATTCGCCAGTGGGCTGCATGGGGTGCAATCATGTCACCTGGTATGTTCAGGTACTACCTCTCCCTCTGCCCTCCCCCACCACCACAACCAATCAGAAAAGAGAGTTTTCACAAACAGTTCAATTCAGGAGTTCAGGCTGCTGAGACACTAGTGAGGATGCCACGTGTCTCATGTCTTCTACCTGGCTAATGTAAGTCCCATGCCTCAGTATTCCTGACCTTTGGTACCATCCAGAATTACTTAGGTTTGTGATGAGCCTGTTTGCAGCCAGACAAAATCGAAGGACTTTTGCTGCAATTTGTAGAATTTTAAAATAGATCAGATCCTATTTTGCCTTTTAATATGTTAAAGCTTAGTCTAGAAATAGCCAGCTGTTCATCCCTTTGGACTGGCAGTCACATTTGGTGAGCCACAAGTTGTAGATGTAAAGCCTATATTTAAACAGGAGCATAAATATGATTTATTGCACATGATGCTTTGGGTGGTGCTTTAAGGTAAGTGGGGCAAAAAGGCTTATTGATATTCCCTGAGAGCTTTGTTGGCCATATTTGTACCTGGGTAAGGAGAACATGCTGAAATTGGAACACACGCACAGGAGTTGTTGCTTTTCTGACTGTAAGGATGTAGTTTGCAGCCACTTGCTCCTATGGACTAATGGAACAAGGCTATAAATAAACAGCAAATTTACATTGTCAAGTTCTCACTCTTAAAAATAAAATCTTCAAGTTTTTCCAGTAACATTCCCTTTTGGTAAAATTCTGGTTGGAAAACAAAACAGCAGAGGGATGCTCCTTGCTAGTTAGCATGAAGTGGATACATCTACACAAGCTGTGTACTGTGCAGAAGACTAATTCGCTGTGCAGTAAACGTCATGCATCTACACGTGCATCCCTATTAGGCTGAAGAAAACCATTTTACTCCGTATCAGGATAGTAGTTTTAAATACAAGTACTATGCTGTTGCAGAGTTTATTACTATTCTGCAGTGCACGTGTAGATGCTGCCCTGGCTGGCTGGGGCATGAGGAAGCCATGGGGAGCAACCCTGGACTGGCAGGCTGGCCTCCCGGGGTCCCTCGCTAGCCAGGGCTGCTCTGACCTGGCTCAATGTGCTGTGATCCTGGGTGCATGTGCAAACAGCATTCCTGGAGCAATGAACTCCAGAGCACTACGCTCTGGAGTTTATTGCTTTGTATTAATATGCATATGTAGATGAGCCCACTGGTTATTAAAGTAAACCATCAAACTGGGCTTTTTGGAAAGGACTTCCACTGCAGGACTCAAATAGCTTCACTGCAGATACTCCTTCCTGACTTACATGTCAGTAACTGACAGGAGAACAGTGCTTCAAAATGAGAGTGATACTATGATGCATTAGGCAATTATTTGTTTCTGTTTAAGTAGAAATCAGTGAACAACCATATAGGTTGAAGCAATCAAACCTCTTTGGGGAAGAGAGGACCCCAGCCAGTTCCTGAGGGGCCTTATGTTTCACTGTATCCTTGCTATTCTAGAATATATCATCTACTATTTGTTTTTGTCCAGAAGCAAAATGCTGTGGAGAGGAAACTGCTGTTCACTTGAGGTGAAGGAGTGCTTTAAATGAATGGGAAATTGGCACTGCAGGATCTACTGGAGTAAGGCATGGGCATGGTATGTCCCTGCCACTGGAGTACTGAGAACCTTCTGTTGACTCTGCTTTTCCCTATTCAGGTGCTCACAAAGGAAAAAGGCAGCTGGAGTAAGAAAGTGCTTGAATCAATTTACAGGTTAAGATTTTGCAAGCTTCAATATTCATTTATAACAATAGGCTAGAAAGAACCATGGACAGTTATGGGTCAGAGTTTACCAGAAACTACACAGCTTGAATCTGCATGGCATCTTGGGGCCATCTGTAGTTATCAATGACAAATGAATCATACTCCGGGCTGTAGATGAGGTTCCTGACAAAGGCTTCCTTTTCTTTGGGTTCTGGATACCAGGAAGCAAGATTATGTTTGTAGGCGTAGTCAACAATCTACACAGAAAAAAGCAAAACATTAGATCAGGTCAAAAGAGAGGGGCAGATTTATTTTTACACATTGTACAGCTGAACCCCAATACTTTTTACCACCTAGAATGATGGACAAGGGAGATAATTTGCAAATGGCACCAACGTGTACAGCTGCTGACACTCTGGAGGATCCTATTAGGATTCACATAAGCACCTAAGAACTGTCTACTGGTGGACCACTGGTCCATCTAGTCCAGTATTTTGTCTCTGACAATGGCAGTAGTTGATGCTTTAATGGCAGAGTATATGAACAGGGCATGTCTGGAGTTATCCATCCCACATCATACTTTCTCTGGAATCAACTATCATTGGTTTAGGGATGTCAGAGGACACATCCCTACTATTCAATTGAATAGTTCCCAGTAGACCTGTTCTTTGTGGGTTGTCTAACCCCTGTTTGAACCCGGTTATACTATCTGTCCCTACAACCTTTGTGGCAATCTGTTGCACAGGTTAATTAGACGCTGTGTAAAAAAAGTACTTCCTCTTGCTTATTTTAAACATGTATTCTGCTATTTCAGAGGGTGCCCCCTAATGCTTGTATTCTGGGACTTGATGCATAACAGTTCCCTCTTCACTTTGTCCATACCCTTCACGACTATATAGACCTCTATCATATCCCCCCCCTCAGCCTTCTCCTTTCCAAACTGAAGAATCTTAGCCTTTCCAGTAATTCCTGGTGTGACAGCTGCTCCTTGCCCCGATCACCTTTGTTGCCGACGTCTGTATCTTTCTAGTTTTATTACACCCTTTTTGAGATGTGGAGACCAGACCTTCATGCACTCTACAAGATATGGGTGCACCATGGATTGACCCAGTGGCATAAGGATGCTTTCTGTTTTGTTTTCAATTCCCTTCTTAATGGTGCCTGGTGTTTTATTGGCTTTTTTTGGTTGCCAGTGCTCATGGAGCCGATGCTCTTCGAGAATATCTACAAGGATGCTAGGATATTTTTCCTGAGTTGTAATGGCTACTTTAGAGCCCAGCACTGTCTCTCTATAGTAGAGGCTACTCTTCCCCCTGTGCATTATTTTGTACTTGTTAGCTCTGAAGTTCATCTGCCCCTTTTTCCTGTCCTAAACTGGAGAACTGGTCTGAAATTAAACAAATAGAATTCAGTAAAGAAAAGTGCAGCTCCCAGCACTTCAGACAGAGCAGTCACATGCACAAAGTCAGACCGGGGCTAGGCTGCAATGCTGCAGAAAAGGACCTGGGGGTTACTAGTGACCTGTAAGCTGAATATGAGCCCAGAGGGTGCTCTTGCTGCCAGAAAAGCACTAGCACACTGAGTTAGTTGTCTTAGAAGGACTGTTGATTCTTCTGCTCCCCTCAGCACTTATATGACTTCCCATGGAGACCTTAGATACTGTACCTCAAGGAAGGCGTGGACAAATAAGAGAGTTCAATTGCTAGTCTTGGAAACTTGACTTATGAGGAAAAGTTGGATGAACTGGGGTGATTTAGTCTAGCAAAGACTGAGAGAGGACTGGATGACAGTCTTCTAATACTTGAAGGGCTGTTATAAAGTGGAGGGTGATGACTATCCTCTGTCACCAAATGAGATAAGACAAGAAATAATAACCCAGAGTTGCAGCAAGGAAAATTTAGGTTGGAAATTTAGAAAAACTTTCTTGCTATGTGGGTTGTGAAGCACTGGAACGGCCTCCCTAGAAAGGTTGTGGAGTCTACATCCTTGGCAATTCTTAAGAACTGTTTAGACCAGGGATAGGCAACATGGTGGATCCGGCCAGTGGCCGGACTCCATTTCCCAGCAGTCCTTGCCCACGAAGCTGAGGCCAGTTTCTATAGAGACCCCAGCAGCAGCCCTGCTGTGACAGCATGATCCAGAGCCATAGAGACATGATCTGCAGCCTGCATGCCCTGGGCAGTCAGCAGATCTCTGCTCTGCCCGGCTCTGGACCACGGTGTGACCATTGCAAGGAACTGGGGCAGAACTGCAATCTGCTGCCTGCACGTCCCTGCCTGGGGTGTGCAGACTGCAGATCATGGCTCTCCCCTGGCTCTGGATCATGCTGTCACTGCTGCAAGATCCTAGCTGGGCTCTGGAGCAGCTCTGTGCCCTGCTGCGCACTCTGCCAGCATGGGTTGTACTGGGGAGAGGGGCTTGGTGGTGCTATAGCTACCCCAAAATTCCCCGTAGCCCCCTATGGCCACCCCCCTCAGCACTGCCACTACCACCACTGCCCACCCTGCATAGGTAGTGGCAGCTGAGCCCACCCTGCTCCCATCCGCATCACGGCCCCCGCTCAGTCCCCCCACCAGGAGGAGGCTGGTGCTACTGCTACCTGCCAGCGCTGCCAGGGCTGGTCTCCATGGAAACCCTGGCCCCTCACTATCACACCCCAGCTGCTGCTGGGGTCTCCATGAAAACTGGCCCCAGCCATGCAGCCAGGGGCTGCTGGGAAATGGAGTTCACTGCCAGCCAGATCTGGTCCATGGGCCAGACTTTGCCCACCTCTGGTTTAGACAAACACTTGTTTAGGATAGTTTTACTGGGGATGACGCTGCCTGATGCAGCAGGTGGAACTAGGTGACCTTCCGAGGTCCCTTCCAGTCCTACCTTTCTAAGAGTCTGCGATTCTAGCCTGACTTGCATTCAAATGCTGATGAGGAGATGCAAAATCAAGACTTCTGTGTATGAGAAAGCACTTCTAGCTGGAGAAGCAAGACACACTGTTGTGTAGTTTGCTTGGAAAGGGAGCCTATTACTAGGAACATAATATTAGAAGGGACAGGCTGGGCCATCAAGGCCAGTCCCCTGTTTGTGCAGGAAACTGCACAATATACCTCTTATTACTGATCACTAGAGGCCCTGACAGATGTGCAGGCCTCTGCTCTAACTCACGGTGTTTTACATACAGTGCCATGAGTTAGAGCGCCCCCCTCAAACCCAACAGATGTGGGTGGGTCTGGTGGGGGGATTGAGCCTGCCTGTAGGAGCCCGAGAAGCCTGCCTGCAGCTGAGGAGCTTTCTCTCTCCCCCAGCCCTGTCCCCTCCCAGTTCCTTGGCTGTCTGCAAAAACGGCGGGGGGGGAGGGGGAGACAGAGTGAGCTGTGCACTGGGTTTGCTCAGCCTGAACTGGAGGGAGATGCTGGGGAAGGCTGCAAGGCAGGGTGGCTTCAACGTGCCTTCTTCCCCTCCAGCTCAGGCTGGACAAAACCCAGCCCGCAGCTCACTCCCCCTCTATTCCTGCAGACAGACTGGGGGGCAGAGCTGGGCTTCATGAGCCCAGTACCAATCATGCCCCAAATTAAACCTAGGGAACATAAATTCCCTAAGGTGCTCTGAAGCACCTTCTTCTGATCCGTCATGTGAGGAGGGTTAATTTGTCATGCAATCAGCCACTTAAAAGTGCTCTGCAGCCGTGCACGTGTCACTTTCAGGGGGTCGATCACACAAGAAATGTAACTTCTGTCTGCGCCCTACAGCACTATGCTAAACCAATATGACCTGATTCCCAGGGCTGTGAAGAAACTTCAATATGATCATTGCCATCTTTAGGACATGTGAAACGGAGGCAAGAGGCCATGGGCTAAATTACTGGAGCCAAACTCTAGCCACCAAAAACAAATGATTTATTTTGGGGACCTATATTTCTACATTTAAAACCATGCTGAAACACCTGAATCAGTGACCTTTTGGAAAGATTAAGCACCTACATCTTCTATCAGTGTCAATGAGACTGGTTTAAAAGCTTAAATACAGGTTGAAGGCCAGATCTTCAAGGGTATTTAGGTGCCTACCTGCCTAAACTCAGACCCCCTAGACCACGGCTTGGTTTACCAATTAGGTGCCTAACAGCGAACCTACTCTGCTCAAGTCCCATACAAACATTAATGCTCAAGAGGAATGACTTTTGCTTGTCCTCACTCTTTCTGGTAACTTAGGGCATTTTTACAAGGCTCTCAGGGTGGGAGTGTGCACTTTAATTAGAGAGGCTCTGAGGGCTGCTCTAATTAAAGTGTCCACAGCGTCTTGTCTACTAGCATCCCTGCACCTCAAAATGGTGGCAAGGGCACTTGAACTAAAGCTCATCAAATGATCTTTAGTTAAATAGCTTCACTGCCATTTTGAAGCAGAGGGACGCTGATACATGAGATGTGGAGGCTGGCTGGAGTATGCTCATTAGCATGCTCCAGCAGACTTCTTGTCTGGTGGAGGTTTCCCTTTACTCTAGTTTTTCCCTTTGTTGCTAGCTATAAATTTGAAAGGGATTAATACAAGGTTTTTGCCAGTGCAACTCCTGCTTTCTCTATCACAGGACCTGGGCTGCCACAGCCCAAACCCGAATGTACCATGGGACACGAAAAATAGAGGATTAAGCTTTAATGCATGTAAAATTCATTTTCTTAGTGTTAAATTCAGCACTTCCATATAGAATGTCAAGGTCTATATTTTGTAACTGGTAAGGACTCTATAAGGGATGGAGGTTAATTTATGATTCATCCATTAACTAGGAACAACTGCAACTGTGTTTAACTGCTAGGCCTTGCAATTTTTCTTTGCTAAATTTACCATGGACTGAGTCATATCCAGTAACTTTGAATGGCCCACTGCCGTCCATGGAAAGGTTCCCACTGGACTATTTCATTTTTGGATCTAACATTTAGAGAAGTATCCACCAATATCGGTTTACTTCAAATGTGAAAACAACAGAAAAATCATTGCCAAAGTTTGAGGGTGGAGCCTTGCATTACATGACTTCACATGAAATGTGGGGAGTAGAATCACAGAAAAGAAGGGCTGGAAGGGATCTTCACAGCAATTGTGAAGGATACATCTCTGATAAATTCTTACCTTAACAGCAATTTTGAAGGACACATCTCTGATAGTACTCAAGGGTGGATATAATCTCCCTTCCGCCAGGTGCTCTTCTGTGACCTCTTCAGCAATAGACTACAAAGAGGGGGAAGATAAATCAGAGGAGATGTTTTCAAGCAATTGCCCCATTTTCTCTCATAAGGCTTTGATAGGAAGCACATATCTGAGAATTCAACTGCTGAAAAATTTGGGAGAAATCCTTATAATGCATTACAAAGCTACTCAAAAGTCAAATGTTCCATATCTCAGTATTAAGCAACCAAAGTTAGGCTGAGATGTTCAGTGAAGCTCTGATTTACTTTGTTGTATTTTGTTACTGTGTTTTATTTATTCTAGTTGCTCTTTTAAGTTGTTCTGTTTCTCTTGCTGTAAGCTGCCCTGGGCCTTTGTTGGGATGGGCAGCAAACAAACTGCATAACTAAATAACGAGTTTGAGCTAGTACAATGGAAAAATAATATAGTGGGCTACGTACCATTTTGGAAAAAATGGGAAAAAAAGAGAGGTCTGCATTCAAATCATGTTGTTCAGCCATAGTACAGCTATGGTAAAGCCATTTTTCTAAAAGCCTGACTTTTAGGGGAAAGGTGAAATCCATGTAGGATGCAATTTAATAAAGATAAATGTAAGGTACTCCACCTGGGAAGAAGGAACCCCCAGCACACCTATAGGTTGGGAAGTGTCTTTCTCAGCAGCTCAGAGGCAGAGAGGGATCTTGGAGTCATAACTGACTCCAAGATGAACATGAGCCAGCAGTGTAACAAGGCAATCAACAAGGCCTTGTCATGCATTAGCAGGTGCATGACTAATAGATCATAGGAGGTGATGCTCCCTCTCTATGTGGCACTGGTCAGGCCACAGTTGGAGTACAGTACTGTGTCCAGTTTTGGGCGCCACACTTCAAGAGGGACATGGGGAATCTGGAGAGGGTCCAGAGGAGGGCCACTCGCATGATTAGTGGCCTTCGTGATAGACCCTACAGGGGGAGGTTGAGAGCGCTGAATCTCTTCAGCCTTCACAAGAGACGGCTGAGGGGAGATCTTGTGGCCGCCTATAAATTTATTAGGGGAGGTCAACGGGGAATAGGGGAAGTGCTGTTTACTAAGGCGCCCCAGGGAGTGACTAGGAATAACGGGTGTAAACTAGTTGAGAGTGGATTTAGGTTAGATATTAGGAAGACATTTTTCACAGTAAGGGTGGCCAGGATCTGGAATGGGCTTCCAAGAGAGGTGGTGCTATCACCTAGCTTGGAGGTCTTCAAGAAGAGGCTAGATAGTCACCTGGTTGGGGTCATCTGACCTCGGTCCTCTTTCCTGCCAGGGGCAGGGGGTCGGACACGATGATCCATTGTGGTCCCTTCCGACTCTACAATCTATGAATTTATGTTTAGCACCCTGTCCTAGGTGAAGCCTTTAACTAGCTTCATGCAGACCAACAAATCACAGTGAAGCTCTGTTTTAAATTGTTTTAAAAGTGCTGGTTGAATTCAAGCGTGTAACCTCTGCAGTGGTGAGGAAGAGATCATCAGAGATATGCCGGACTCCACAGGCGATGACTCCCAGTGCCACTCCTGGGAACACATAGGCGTTGTTTCCTTGGCCGGGGAAGAAGGTCTGTCCATTGGGCAGGGTTACTTTAGGGAAAGGACTCCCACTTGCAAATATACCTCGGCCCTGTTGGAAGACAGACAGACACACATCTTGGGGGAACAACACTTAGAATTTATTCTACTGTTCATGACCTGAGAGGATCTCAGAGAAGTCTGGTGACTGGGATGGCAAATTCAGAGTTCATCATTAGGATCCAACTTTTAACCTGATAGAAGGTTTCCTTACCAGAACAAGAGGATCAGTTATCTCTTTGTTCTTACAGAAAAGTATTCTCAGGGATTTAGTTTCCATTTGCCCTGGTACCAGACAAAAAGCATGGTCTTTGGTCTCACCCTGACCTATTTATCTTAGTACAGATCAAGTCCCTTTTGCCATAGTGTTTCAATGCCTCAGTCACTAGTGAATTTATCTTGGAAGGCAAGAAAAGACCATCCCAGCTATGGTAGCAAAGCTTGGGAAAAGGCCTGTGCTCAGCCCTCCATGGTTTTGCAGATACACAAAGCAAGGTTTTGTAGATGGACCTGTGAAGGGGAGCAGGACAGTATTCCCCTGGATCAGGAACCCTTCCTGCAGATGCTCTTGAAGGATCAACTGCAAAAGCTCCACAGCTTATGGGTTCACAACCTTTTTAACTCAAGGTACTCCTCCACAACTTTCTAGAAGATAGTGACACCCCATTTCAAAAGCTAACATAAATATAGTTCAGTGATTATAAGCACTATAATATCAATTATGATACTAATTAATTCTATGGTCATAAGATAACATAACTCTGCACTGTAGCCCCAGACAGGCTTCTTCTGCGTGCCACAATCTTCTGGCAATTCTGCTAAACTACAGCGAGACACAGTAGTGTATTTACCTCTGTGAGGCGATAGCACTGCTCAGCTGTGCACTCTGCTTTACTTGTGGGGTTGCTTAAGGCAAATATGATGGGCCTCTCATTGAAAGCTGCCATGTCCTTCAAAATCTGTTCAGTGAAAGCCCCTGCAATGGCTGCCACACCTGAAAAGAGGAAACAGTCAATTCCTAACTCATGCCTAGACTGAGTCCTAGTCTCTTTAAGTCTCACCTGTTGTTACTGCTCCACTAGTGTGAGTGAACAGGTGGGCCCTTTGGAGAGGCCTACAGACAAGCCCTGTCCTTGTTGCATTCATCATGATGTTAAAGACAGTCTCAGGATAAAGGCCTCCTTTTCACTGGGTAGGGGATCAATATGAGACCCACCAGTTGGCCAACGGAGCATTTGTCTGAGGTGACTTAGTGATTGTACTCAGAGCTTATTCTTCAGGAGACCTGGCTCTGGGAATGGATACCAGCCTTTTACTCCATTGATTAACTAGGGCTGTGGTCACCTCCTTTAGGGTGACACATATCTGCTAAACCCAAGGGTACCATCCTTACCCAACTGAGGAGCAGCAATGTCTGTATTTGGAGAAGGAAGGATAATCCTTGTGAGCCGCAGCCTCCAGAAAGGGGGCTGGATAGTAAAGGAGCAAAATGGAGACCTGTTGTTTTTTGGCTGGGGCAGTAAAGGGGCACTTAGTAGAAAGCAAAGGAAAGTAAGAATTACACAGATGAGAAAGGGTCCATGTTTAAGTGACTCTACCTATAATAGCTGTCGGCTTCACTCTTTGCACAACTTCCTCTAGCGTTTTCACATTGGGATGATCTTGAGCAAACATCTCTTTCTCATGGTTCAGGTGACTCCTCCCCTGTGAGGGAAAAGGAGCAGATACACTTATGGGAAATGACAGAAGTCTGGGTCAATGGTTTAGTAAACCGTGTTTCCACAATTTCAGTGTCTCATGAGTCCTGTTATTATGAAGTGTTCATCTTTATAGCATCCAAGCGTCTTCCATGAATTAAGCGATATTACTTCAACGCACCCAGGCGCAGTTTGGTTTTCCATCCTCTTCCCCATGGAGAATGACACATGCAGTACAGTGTTATGTTGTGGGAGGTGTGTGGAGTTTTTCTGAGCACGTTACCTGAGGTTTATGCTGGGGGAGGCAGGTTGAAGGACTCCTTACACTTGGAGTGGGAATGGATGCAGCCCCTAGTGAGCTCCTAATTCCTGAGGCTATCCACTCCAGAGTCTCAAGAAAGTCCTGTGAGAAAGCTCTTGTCTTGCATACAAACAAGCTTTAACCCTTACTGTAGGAAGCTCCACTAGCAGAGTTGTCCTTCTGTCTTACCTGTCTAACTAAGTCCCTGGTGCTGTCCCCAGATCATTCTGACACCTGGAAACAGCATGCAAACCAGATTAAATTTGTCTTTGGTTTCTGTAAGAAGGTGCAGAAGAACAGCAGGGCTGCCTGTGCCCCCATATGCTTTCCCTGCTGCGAGTTACCTCTTCATACTAGAGCTGACATGCGGTATAACTGGAGCTCTCCCAGCAGAGCAGTGCAGTCGGGGTAGACTTACCTTGACAATCAGCCCTTTGGAGTCCACCATCCAGATTTTTTTGATGGCTTCCTCTTGGGAAACGCCTTCCTTTTCCATGGCCATAATGATGAGAGAAGCTATGCCCATCGCAGCCTGGAAAGCAGATATAAATGGAAACTCTCTGGTTAGTTTCTCCAAGCAACCTGCAACATCCTGGGGAAAGATATTAAAAAGTTGCTACTTCCCCCAGGCCCCATTCTCAAAAAACCAGGCAGACCATAAGTCTTTGGAGCAGAAGACTATCCGTGTGTCCTAGGTAGTGCTTAGCACAGTGGAGCCACTGAGACTCCTAAGGCGCCACCACAGTACAAGTAGTAAGTGTTCAGATGGGCAAGCTGTGCTGCACTGCTGGGATGGGAAGGCAACCTGTCAAGGAAGGGGCGACCAACTGCATCCAAAATAGTGGACTGCTCAGAGGGGTTGAAGATGGAGTACACTGCCTAGGATCTGACCAGGAAGAGCTGCCCAAGACCTTCATGCTTGCCATGCCAATGGAGTGGAGGTAAGCAGAAGCTGGACTGAAGGGGCATCAGGATGAGGCCAGCAGAAAGCAACTCGGGCAGTACTGGAAATAGAGCATTTGAAATGCTCAGAGGTGGAGAGTCACTTTTTTCTTCCGCTGCTGCATGACCAAACAAGCTGTCCCTGACACACTATGCTGCAATTGCTATTACAGTTGCACAAACGGGCTCTAACCAAGGCAGTGCACATACACTTGGGGAAGGACAACTCCTGCTCTGATGAGATCACAATCTGAATGCATGTGACAAAGGTTTGGAGACAGGAAGTTCTACCATCTCCATCTTGTGGATGGCCACCGAAGGGTTAAGCACCTTGCCCGGAGTCGCACAGGAAGGCAGTAGCAGAGCCAGGAACCAAACCCAGATCTCCTCAGTACAAGTCCAGTGCCTTAACTTCCTGCCTTTCCTTCTTCTCTCCCTTGCCTCTTGTGCCTAGCATTGGACACACTCAGAGACACACAGGATTTCTGCCTTGAAAGGAAATGCAGTGCTCTGAAAAGTGGTGCTGTGAAGTTCTGTGTTTATTGACCCTGTGAGTCCAGGTCCCAAGTGCTCAGCTTATGAAGAAAAATTTGGTGTTCTGTAAGCCCCGTCCCTGTGGACTCAGGCTGGACCTCAACAGAAAAGCTGGGCTTCTTCCAGCATTGTTGTCTGTAATATTCGACAAACCTGCATCAAACCTCCATCAACTTTTGTGCAGCCTCATTGCATACAGCTCAGTAAAATACTGTAGGACATGGGCTGGCAAGCTACGACCCATGGGCTGGATCCCAACTGTGGAGTCATTTTATCCAGTCCATGGAGCTGGGGGGCCTCTTCTGCATTGCTTTGGCCATGTTTCTGTGGTAGGGGGCTTTGCTTGGGGGTTGGGGAGAAATGGTGGTGGTGGTTTTGAAGGGGGCAGGGAGTGGGAGGGTGGTTGCAGCTCTGGTTCTGGTGGTGTGTGCTGGGCTAAATTGGCCTGAGCTTGGAGCTAAACTCCATTACAGTGGCCCCCTGCTGCAAAACTTTGCCAACCCCTGCTCTGGGAGGATGTTGTGTCTCTATTTCCTCTTTGTTTTTTTTCTCTTTCAACTGGAAGGCAAAAGGATGAATTTAGGAACAAAATAACCCCCGAACCCTACCTCTCCAGCTCCCTGGAAAACAAATTTGTGGTTGGATAGTTTGTTCTTCGTGATTCTTAAGGCTGCAAAGATGCCAGCTACTGCAACAGAGGCGGTACCTAAACACAGAACACAAGAACAGTGAGCATGATGCAGAGGGACAAGGTGCCCTTTGCTCCACCCAACAGTTGGTTGTGAAAAACGTGGAAACTTCCTCTCTCAGGCACTACATGGCCCCATCACTACACAAGCAGTGACCCACAATCTGTTATCTGCTTAGCCTTGTAGCACTCCTGCAAGGACAGTGCTTCTGTCCCAACTTGACAGAGGGGGAGTGAATGTGCAGAGACACTAAGAGTCAGATCTTATTCCACCTACCTAAGTGCTACTGGAGCGGACATAGGTACCCAACTGTGATCCTATTCCTGAAGAAATGTTGCATGAACCTTCTTTTGGTACATGCTGCTGTCTTAGCCCTAAGGTGGTCACAGAAAGCAGCCAGCACCAGGAGGTTCCACCACCACTTGTGGTTGCTGCTTTCCAAGCACTCAAGCAGGGTGAACAGGATGACACTGGGATGTCTTAGGCCACTCAGATGTCTGAGAGATGGATGAGGAAGTAGCCCTAAGGCTCAGATCCTCAAAGGGATTAGACACCAAACTCCCATTGATTTCAGACTTCAGGGACTTAGGCCTGAGTTCACGCTGGAAGCCTGTTACAGAGCAGAGAACTGAACCTGGGACTCCTAAATCCCATGCTGGTGTTTGAACAGTGACTTCTCAAACCTTTTTTCTAGTTCCTTTTCAGACCTCTGCTTCTTCTCTTGTATTTTTCATAATTCCCCTTCCCGCTATCCCTGGCCCAAAGACCAGGTTGTCCGTCAGCCCAGAGGTGAGAAGAATTTTAGGAAGAGAGGTTCAGTGGCATCAGTCCATGGTCATAGGTTCAGAGGAAAGCTGGGCTGGAAGGGACTGCAGGAAGTCATGTAGTCTAACCCCAACTCAGGGCAAGATCACCCCTGATTAAACCATTCGTGTCAAGTGTCTGTCTAACCTGCTCCTGATAGTGTCCAGGGATGGAAATTTCACATCTTCTCCAGGCAGCCTGTTTCAATGCTTCACCATCCACAGAGTCAGAAAGTTCCTCCTAATCTCCACCCTCAATTTCCTCTGGTGCCGTTTCAGCGGGATGTCATTCAAAGCACAGGCAAGATACACTGCCTGGTCTGACAGCCTCAGTGAGATCGTCTGCAGCCCCCACAGTTGCCTGGACAAATGGCTCAACATTTCCTCCATCTGCCCCTTCAATGGGTTCAAATTTCTGGGCTGAATTCCCCCTCCCCACACTTTGTGTACTGGGTCTCACCACACAAAGACCATGGAGGCAAGGAGCTAAAGGAGCTCCAGGCTGGTGAGGGGCATGTGATTTAACTGGGCACAGCTGTATGTGAGGGGAACATATGGGCAGAGTCAGGTGCAATGCTCTGTGCTCCAGAGCAACATCTGCAACACAGCTGGATGGTGCTTTCCTGCATCACTTCTACTGCTGTGGTCCTTGGGCTGGTCTAGCTATGTCTGCAAGGTCCTCAGACTGGCCTCTCAGCAATCCCTGCCTATTGTTCATGGATGAGTCAGGAGGTGGGGAAGGATAGCAGGTGGTGAGGCTGGGCTAAAGATTCCCCTCCCCACACACACTCCAGGCTAATTATCCTGTTTTGCCAGGTTTCCATCATTTCACATTTTCCTGCTCTTCCTTTCCAGACTTAGAGCAGGCCAAGTTTTAATCAGGTAGACACTGAGTGAGTCACTCCAGCAGCTCTCCTTGGCATCACAGTAGGCGAGTGGTGCTTTCAGCAACAGTCAAACGAGCTTAATGAAAGAGCTTAATTAACAGAGCATGAACTAGAGCTGGCAGATCCACTAGATGGCACTGTAAATATTTCAATATCAGGCAATGTCAGCAAAGAACATTTTGCAACTGTTGTGGCTGATGATTTGGATGTTAAAAGTTGGGGTCCTCAGTGCAAACTACTTGTTAGTGATGCAGTTTGAGCGCACACATCTTTCTTTCAGCTTAAAAGAAAAACCATCCGAGCCTGCAAAAACTAAGTGTTAACTAATGCATTATCACCCATACTCTAGGCCACAGAAGAAGCACTCATGGCGCAGCTCAATCAGATCGCAACAGATCTGTGAATTCTGCTAAATACACTGTCACAAGGGCAGGAAAAGGAATGAAGGAACCACATTCTTCACTTAATCTATTACCGTGATTGGTTGGGAGTGATGAGTAAAGCAGCATTTCTGGTATCCTAAAATATATTTAAGGTACCACAGACACTGTGATGACTGCCACAGAAATGTATGTAATAATAAGTAAATACTTTGCTACGGGATTCTTCTGTACAGTGATAAAGAAACTTCCCAGCCTTAATGGCTCCCTATACACATGTTCACTGGCATTCTAATTAGAACAGGTTGGTGCAGGCTCGATTAATTGAGTCTGCTATGCCTTCTAATTAGAAGAATGCAGCGTTGTTCCAGCATCACGTGTGTTAAGCTCCCGCCCATTTTAAAATGGCCACAGGAAACTTTAAATCTCATTGAATGAGGTTTAGATGAAGTGTACCCCGTGAGGCAGGGGTGCTTTAATTAGTGCAGGTCTGAGAGCCGTGCTGATTAAAGTGCCTGGAGTGTCATGTGTATCAGCATTCCTGTGCAGAAAAATGGTGGCAGGGCGCTTTGAACTAAAGCTCATTGAACAAGTGCCCCGCCACTATTTTTTAGCATGGGGACACCGATACATGAGATGCTGGAGTCTGCTGGAGCACAGTAATTACCATGCTGTGGCAGACTCGAACAATCGAGTCTGCTCCAATGTGCTGTGATTACAGTGTGTCAGAGCAGCCTCCCTGCACATGTATAGGAGCCCCCTGTGACCATTTTTAACTGTGCGGGGGCTTAATACACATGATGCTGATTTAATTAGAGTGGGTGCCTGGGAACCAGTCTAATTGATGAGCCCGCCCCCCCCCCCCCCCCCCCCCGAGCGGGTGTATAGCCAGCCACAAAAATCAGGTCCATGCAGTAGGAGATTTGCTTTCTAAATAAGTGACACTTATTTATATTCATGAGGAAAGATGATCTTGTAGTAAAAGTAATGAAGGAGGATTTGGGGTTGGGTTCCTGACCAATCTGGCTGCTTGTGAAACCTTAGGCAAAACACTTTCTTTCTCTACTTCTCAGTTCCCACTGAAGTTCAGGACAGGGAGGTGTTCAAATCTTGGAACAGTGAGGTGGACCATATACATGATGAGACAGGTGGATTATATTTCACCAGTGGCATAAATACACAAGACTGGTACAGGACCAGAGCTGGGCAACATCCTAGCAGTTAATGCGTGTCCTTTCCTTAGCCACATCTACACTAGAAACCTTGGGGCTTTGTATACACCACATTTTTTGCTCTTTTATGTGCTGCAACTGAGTGTCTGTTTGCTCGCGCAGGATTTCTGGACACTTTAAAAGTCTTTCATGTGCATTAAAGTCAAACTCCTCAGACATAGTTTAGTTTGGCTCAGCGGGAATTAAAGTGTCGCATCCATGGATTTGTTGCATGCAAACACAAAGGCACTCAAAGACGTGCAATGAATCTCTTTGTCCACCAGATGACTGCGACTTCTTTGTAGTTCACCCCTTTGAATTGCTTTTGATTTTGAATTGCTTCCATTTTTTTTTTCTTGTGTGGTTTGCCAGCTTCCTGCTGCATGGGCATGAGCACAGGGTATGGGGTGGGGGCCCCTGGGCTGGGAGGGTCAGCACTGGACTGTCCTGCTCCTCTGTGGTGCTGGCCATAGACTGGACTTAATTAGTTCAAAAACCTAGTGCGTGCAAACAATGATGCAGTGCTCCAAAGCTTAATTCTTTCGAAAGCCTAGTGCATGCAAACACTGATGAGACACTCCAAAATAAACAAGTTTAAATTTTATAAACCTATTTAATTTAATGAGGATTAAAACCTGTGATGTGTACAGGCTCCCCTTTACTGGCAAAGTCATATCAGTTTGGGGTACAATTTTTAAACCATATTGCTATACCAGCAAAAACCCAAGTAGGGACATAGCTATACTGTACAGAAGTGTTTTAGCTGGTTTGGCTAATTTTGCTCTGGAACCCTGAAGAATTTAAACAAGGAAAAAGAATTTTTTTTCTGGTACACATTAAGGCTACCCTGCTATGGTACAACCAAACTAGAATTGCTGGGCCAGGAAAACTTTCTAGTATGGGCCTGGTCTAACCTGCCACCCTACCAAGAATCTGAGTTGGTAAAAGTGGCAAGGGCCTATGTTCCTGGAAGAAACAGTCCCTTGTTATAACTATGGCACGGACATGTTAGGTAAGTAGGTAGGATGGAACCAAAAGTCTTTCTGCTCGTCACTTGAGCTAAAGGAGAATCCTCCAGCCCTTGTTCATAGTGCTGGGCTGGGCTGAGCAGGTCTGTTTCATTCCAGGAAAATGGTACCAGCACTTGCCCTATTTCATTACACCATCCTGTTTGTCCAGAATGTGCAGGTGGTGGGGCAAAGTCACAGGCTGGGGGAGAAAATCCCAAACTATGGAGGTGGAAGGATATAGCAGCTCTCTGGAAGGGCGATGGGTTTCACAGTGATAGAAGCTGGGAAGTGGCCAGAATATGCATGTGAGAGACTAGTAAAGGGGAGATTTGGAAGCAGAGAAACTTCACGTTTCCCTTGGTTTGGCTCCATGTGAAATTGCTTTAAACCTTACAGGGGCCAGTTGGGACTATTCCTGGTTTCTGCATGTGCCTCTGAACCTACATTACAGCAGAAGAATGAATGCTCTTGGAACATCCTGCAGAGGGATTTGAGGTCTTTTTTAAACAAGTTATTTACAAGGAATGAAGAAGTGGGGTGAAGGCTGGATAAAGGGTGCCCTGACTCAGTCCACAAGATGATGTGCTTCTCAGCAGTGCATAAGCCTATGGGACAGGGTGTGCCATTACTCATTCCCCTGCACTTTAATTACAGATAGGCCCGAGCAATGGCAGGGCGCCACTCAGCTTTGCCATTTGTAATAAGGTTTCTTCTCCAATGTGTTTC